ATAAATGTGGTAAAATATGTAAGCAAAAATATCTGACATGTGTTTGCGGTTAGGATCGGAATATCCGTCCCTCGGGTCCAAATTTTCCGATCCGAACCACAAAATATGACAGACATTATCATTCTTAACCGTGAGAGTAGAGCTAGTCTTGATTCCCACGCTTGTCTTACTTTGGCTATTGATTGCAGATTAAACATCTAGGCATAAATTATGATTCACTCTTTAGTAAAGTAAGAATTAGAAAAATTCTGATGTTAAGACATTATAATGAATAAATAGTTCTGTTACGTAAAACATAACAATACACTGATTGCACTATAACATTTTGTAACATCTGAATCTCTCTAAAAATTATATCTTAATTATGTCTTTTTAATTCCGCCCATTCTTTCACACACATTCTTTGCTTGAAGAAAATACACATATTTTCATCAAATGGCATTGCCGTGTCCCATTGAAGGTCCTTTGCTTACCAATGAACACATCTATGGATATTTTAATTTTCCAAATTCTACCATTTCCAATTTAATGTTGAATACTGCTGAAGCCGAGGCTAATGGGAATGGAGGTAGTTTGCACTTTCTAGTGCCGCCCACACCAATACTATGCTAAGTATACATAATGTTTACGTATTATTGTATTTTAAATATGTCGTTGTCTTAAATATATTTTGTAAATCATTGAAGAGTCATTTAAACGAATTTTCAGTGTTTGAAAATGCTCATTATAATGGTCAGAAATCAGTTGTCGATGATTAGAATGAAAGAAAATACATTGGGATGGTAGACATTCTATTACATAATTCTATACTTCAAGTACAAGTTTACAGGGACGGATTGTAGTACTAAGTGGCTTGGTCTTAACTCATCATTAACAAACGGAAGGTATTAGATCCGAAAGGAAAGCTTTTAGGAAATGAAAAGATTATACATTACTTTGAGAATTTAATCTGCATTTAGCATAATAACTTATTTGCTTATGTTTTATGCGATAACTTAATCAAGAAAAGAAGTAATCTGTATATTAACATCAATATTCCTTTAACATTCATGGCACGTTTCAATGTTATTATACTACATCTATAATGAATGAGGTAGCTCGGTTTGTTACAAAGACATCTTCATCAAGATATGGCTGTTTACGTTTTTTTGTTTTGACATTTTCAAACTATTTCTTTTTTAAAGGTAGATATCAGAATATGGACGTGTATGAATAAATATCTCCTTGTGGCTAGAGGGTTGCTTTTACGGGATGATGCATCAAAATTGCAGCCATCATATAACCCTGCATGATCTAAATATATTTGAATTACTTGAGTCTCTCCGGCCAGTGATGTGGTTTTGACACCTGATGCTACGTTTAGTTAGTAACATCTGAGGTTAGACAAAATTATCTTTCCTGTTCGGCGTCATATGACCTAAATAAATTATATTGATGCGCCGCAAAACCAAACAAACAAAACACAATAAAAATAAATAAATGTTACTGAGTTCAATGGTAGTCGCTTTCCCTTGTTAATCTTTCCTTTCATGTTTTATATGAAACGTTATTATTCATATTGTAATCCATTGTGTAAAACGCGCAAAATCAATTATTGTTACTGATATTATCAGCTTACAGATAATTACAATATACAACTTTGGTGTTTTTAAGTTTTCTCGACACATTTTATAGCTATTAAGAGCTATTTATATTTTTATGAAATGTCGCTTATTTATATATAAGTATAGTCATGTCATCCAAATTTAATGCCGTTCGTATCGATTGTGCGGATAAGACGACAGCAACTTTGTCATTTATTTTGTCAGTAAGTCATAAATGAATCTATATCCGTGATTTATCGTTGAATTGTAATGTTAATACATGATTAAAGTTTTAAAACTTCACGCAAAAAACAATTGCACGTATGCAAATGTATATTAGTGTTGAAGCATTGTAGAATCTATGTGTTAACTCTTTAACAAGCAGATTAATAACAGAACTAATCGAATCGTTACAATATATGTATTCAAGCGATATGTATACTTTGATTTGCAGTTCCGGTCACCGGATCCCTGTTAAAAACATTGGAAAGAAGAATCATGAGTAAGGTTACTAAATGTTGTGATATACTTTTTGATTCAATTCTGTGATGGTAAGTTAACCAATGCTGTCTAAATCTTATATTATGAAATCAATAGTGCTAGAAAATAAGAGAGAACAATATTTTTGATGCCGCTAAATATTACAGAATGTACAATGCTACTGTATCAGTTTATTTTGCTTTTTTGCAAAGACGATCAGATCAAGACACACATAAAACTGTTCTCTTTTTTTTTTTTGGTGCATACTTTACGTAAATGGCTGAATGAAGTAACACTAAAATATTTACATTTTTGTTTGTGTGTGCCAGTGTGTGTATGTGTATATGTTTTTTTTTCTGTTTTTCTACGGGGGGGGGTATGGTATCAGATCTGGACAGAATAGGGTCGAGTAGTGATCCTGAAATAATCCATGTATTGTTTTAAACATCACCATTACTTTTCTTCATTTTCTTTGAAGATCTTACAGGAAATTGTACTGGTGATATCAACCGAACACTCAATTATAAAATATAAAATTGAATGTATAGATACATGTACGGTTTCCGTAACGTCATATGTGTCTTGTATATTTCCTTATTTTTCTGACATTTAGACATATTCATCTCCATACGACCCATTAACAAAAGTGACATTTTAAGATACAATTACATACAGCTTCAAAAATGATATTTCAGTCGATTTTGATATTTCCTCTTCAGAAAAATATTTCTGACAGATACTGTGCGGATAAGATAATATGTAGAAACATCTTTGATGAACGAAATAGTAATTATGACTATTTTGGAATTTGTATAATTGTATACAACTCGTTCAATAATTAGAGTTAAAAAAACAGTCAATTAAATACCCTCTATATTATAAAAAAATGATGAAAAATATTTTACAAATAGATAAAAATCTTTTTAATCTGTCTGTAGTTGGATGGCCGAATAATTGACCACTTACATTGACCTGCAAGGCGTTAAAATAATTGTGTACCATATGCCAGGCAGAAGATTCAAATACTCAAAACATAAGAAAGAAAAAAGAAACAAGTATATTACACTCCAAATTGGGCATTTTGCGAACAGTTTTTTACAAGATTACACGTTTTTGTATTTCACCACAGAATAGTCAACGATCAGAATCCCCGTGAATTTAAATTGTACCCAAGCCTGTTTTTCTTGTTTTTGAAATTTGAAAAATATAATATAAAATGCGGCAATTATTTTGAAGCATAATTGTGTGTTTACCAAATTGATGTAGTGTATGATAGTTGCGTATATCTGTTCATAAGTAATGTTTCAATCTTATTGATTATCAATTAATCATTATTAATTGTTATAAATACATGTCTATGAGAAATAGATCATCAAGAGCAGTGTTTAACTTTAATTAACATTGTTCACTTGGTTTGTAGCTTGATTGTGTGTCTTGATTGTGAGCTGGTTGCTTTTTTGACCTATCCTTATTGACGAAATTAAAAAAAAACACACTTTTTGTTCATGTATTGGTGATCTGTTTGTAGGTTTAAACACAGTTTTGGTCATGTCACGGTGGTAGGTCAAACATGCCGCTTTACTGCATATTTCCTGTAACTGCAGAGATAGATTTGACCATTTATCTTAATGTCGGAAAATGACTGTCACTGAGAAATTTCGCCTCATTCGAAAATCGAACCTCTGAATTCTGTATTTCATATCCTAGTATGCTTTCTCTACTTAGACCAATGTTAGATGAGCGGGAGAATGAATAGTTTTTGATAGCTTAATAAAATAATTATAATACGTTACAAATTATTGGTAGAAAAATGTATGCACAGTATATTCACAATTTAGCCCAAACTACTTAGCCGATGTGCTCACTGATGAATTATTAAAATAATCTATGTTGGTGAGGCGTAAAACTAAACAAACAAACAAACTTTTCACTGATATCGGTTAGTTAAAAAACATATTTAATTGTCGTTTAAATGTAATTCAAAAAGTATATCCTCTGCTGTAACGGTAATTTTAAATGCATTCAAAACATACAGGCTAATGAATTTAACAGTTGTGTATGTTTATTTGAGTATGTGTGATGTTATTGCACCTATTCCTTGCACTAGAATGATAATAAAATACACAAAACAATTGTTATACTTATCTACGGACATGACCTTGCACAGGTCAGTAACGTTTTGCATTAAAAAAGCTTTGTGTTTGAAACATTCATTTTTATTGTGTGTTGTATTCAATATCAAAGCGGTTTATTGTCAGACTGTTACATGAAACATCACTGACATATGTTAGTTTATTGCATTATACACATATAAAGACGTGGTTTTACATTTAAAGGTTATTTAAAAAAACTACTTAAGATGGCACATGTGTGGACAGACCTAATAGATAACTGTTTACTGTTTATAATGTTTTCGTGAGCAGTAACGATGAAAGTATACTAAAGTCATATGTTATGACTCTCATTGTAATGTTTACTACTCATTACCATGGATTTAAGTGTGTACACAAATCTAAACAATGTGAATGGGTAATATCTAATTATGTTGATAAAAGAGGATATTAAGTATATTCTTTGATATCCAGTTACTATAATTGTAATCATTCTAAACCTTGTTTAAAAGTGTAAGATGTGCAGCATCCTTCTTTTGATATTGCTAAATTCTATATTAAACATCACATTTAATTCAAGTAGATATTGACATTAAACACTGCGTGTCATAAACATATGCTTTATCACCCAGATCTTGCAAAATTTCCATAATTACTATGACACGCGACCTTTAAAGTATCCAATGTTGTCAATTTTATACTTAATAAACTATAAACTATGCACACTTAAAGACTATAAACACAATTGAAGGTTCGGCGAAAGAAGCTTCTCTTTGGTTCAAGTGAGCATGCAAAGAGGCAAATGGAGTCAAAAACAACAATGTAATATAGATGCATTTATTTTTATTTCCTTTTACTATATAATACACAATTTATACATTTAATTGTTTTGTACACATAAGCACAAATAACTATCAATAAATATCTACACTACCATTATATGTATTGAACGTTTTTCAACAATGCAACTTTATGATGTTGATCTTGAAGCATGAAGTATTATTTGTTTTTTAAAAATGAAAGATTGTTAACCACCATATAACGATTACGTTACTCATAACAATAGTCCTTCAAATAAAACAAATACATCATTTTATAATTATATACATATCTCACCGATTCTGAATATACATTTCTTCTTTTCCACATGGCACATACTTAGTAGATATCAAAACATCTGTATAATTTCATTCGTTTTTACAAATTTAACAATGAACACATTTCATATCGTCCCGACAATATTAAATATGTACAACATAAAAAAACACTATCACAGATCATTTTTTCATCTCAACTTTATATCATATCTTAAATCAGCAATTTTATCGTTCTAGGAAACACACTCAGTAAGAAATCCTTGAATATAATTATGAACGATTGTAATTTAAATGAAGAAAAGGGACAAAAGTGGTACCACAAATTAATAGGAAATAAATTTAAAAATGAGGTAGTGTGCTACAAAACGTAAAACACTATTCGGCCGTTTTGTTTTGAAAATTAAAGTTGGTTAAAGTACATATCAAAAGGTACTTACAATAAAGTATTTTTCTTACTTTATTGCGCACACGCATGGACAACACAAATCGTGCTACTTTACAACGTTTAGCTATGATTTTGAGCATGCACCATATTTCTTAAGCAATTACAGATGTGGCAATTTAACGTTACAATTATTACAAGCGAAAATTATACAAATTTGGACGCACATTGAAAGAAAAAATATACAGCAGTCAATAAGTTAATCGACCAGTATGCATATTAAATCACATTACCTCTTTTTTCTTATAAACATTTTATTTAAAATTTTATATTTGTAAAACATATAACCATAGTAATACTGCTTTTGTCATCTTTAAGTATGACGTAATAATTATATGAATTTATAAAAAGATTGTTTAATTCTTATAAATATTTTGTTATATATATGAACTAAAAAGGAGACACATAAACGTACCTTATAATAAAATATTATATGAATTATGATACACACACATGGCTTGTTTTTCCTTTCTCTCATACAGAATAATACAACGCAAAATTAGCTACGGACAATGAAATCCCGTAATAAATATTTATGACGGCTTTGGTCGAATGTAAACGAATTATGATATATCGTATCAACAGTAAATAATTTATTTGCCATTATAACAATGAAATATTATTCAAAACAAGAGGGCAACGTTTGTCCTAGACCGCTCACCTGACAAACACTGCAAGAAAAGGTAATGGATTCAGTAACGAGGTTATTTTTCTTTTTTTACCCAAGCATCATACTTTTTAAGCTATTTGTAGGCGTTTGCTACTTAATGATTCACGACAGATATCTAAGCTCTTGGTATTGTAATATCACACATTTTTCAAGCTCTTGTGAAATTCTTGATCAGCAGACCGGAACCGTTTGAATATTTATAAAGGTCCATCTAACGGTCATTTATGTATAGTTTCATCAGAATCAAACCAATTATTGACTCATCACTATTAGTGTAGGGGTTCAAGGGGATGTTTAAGTAAAAATGTTAAAGTCGGACGACAGACGCCGGACGACTGACACAAGGGTATCACAATATCACAATAGCTTACTTTGAACACACTGTGCTCAGGTGAGCTTAAATGTGTATGTCAGCATGCACTTATTTCGCTAATGGTGCTTTTTAACGTATATAACGTTTGCTACTTTTTAAAAATAGTGCAATATAAAGTTACTGTTACCAGAACTTATCATCAATCACGTTGCTTTTTACATGTATTATTTACAATCTGACAAACCAGTAACAACAAAAATAGTTTATTGATAATGGAATGTTTAATATACAAATCACCGAGAGATCCGTAACGCAAGCCGGCTTGGTTTTCATATTTCAACAATTGTCTAGGCATTGAAAGATAGAGATTCAAAGAGATTACACATTCAAAGCAAAACACATAATTGTATTTCCAACCATTTAAATAGTCAGCATCAGTTCGAAAACTTGAAAACAAAATATTGTTCAAAATATCCAATGATCGTTTTAATGAAAGCCTGGGTAAAAATGATAAAATGATGGTAAATAAGTACTAAATATATATTTGTTAAATGCAAAGATGCCCACACATTGTGGAGTATTAGTGTCTTTTCAATAGTTGCGCTGTTCTAATGCTACGTACCAAAAAACATCCCAGACATTTGTTGCATAAAAATATTTATAACTACGTCAATACCGCATGTTACATTTGAAATCCCAGACACAGAATATGAATACGTTTTGGTTATATTTTACTCTAAAATTATCATGCAAAGTGTATGACCAAAACCTATTGTTATAATAATATCATCATTATTATTTTTATATTTTATACCAGTTTTTATGTCATTATAACATATAATCTGGTGTAATTGAGTTACCGATATTTGTGAAGCGTATTATTGATTTCTTGGTGTGAACTTAAATGTGACCAAATATAAAAGTAAGTATTATTATACAAAAGTATTTTAGAAATTTAAAATATTTTTTGTTCTGCTTTTTTTGAATTATTCTTAATAAGTTGAATTATTATAGATACGAAGTTTTTACCTAACTATCATGTCGAGTATTAAAAAACCCTGTTTTACCTTGTCAGTATACATAGCTATAGCTATGGAAGAATGATCATAACATTTGAATGACATAAACAACTGTATGACATGGCAGCTCTTTTACATTATACATAATGCTTAATGTCAAAACGTTATAACATAATTATATACACTCTAGCTCGATTCTGATCAACAGATTCAAGCGTATGTCAAAGTTGTTAAATGTTGTTAATGTTCAAACATATTGGCAAGATACAAATGATGCCAAAGATTCTCAACAGTCGGGTGAGGAAAGAAGCAGCGGCTCTCGACTTTGAGACTCAAAATGACCTTTGAACTCTGCGGCCGTACCGGATGCGCCCTCACACTGGCTATCAGAAGATTTATCGGCGCTGTCGTCTGCTGTATTTGAACTTTTAGCAAGAGTGGAAGCGTCCTTAAAACATTCATTAATGGGGTACTGGAATAACGATACATCTGTATTTAGTACCTCCTCGTCCTGAAACGTTATAGATATTGTTATAATCGTTGATAACATAAACATGTATAGACCCCTTAAGTAGGCACAAAGCAACACAATAGAATATGTTGCAGGCTCGGTTTGCTTGAGCATGTCCATAGACGGTAATGGAATGTGCAAGTTACCGTTCACAACCCTTAGCACTGACTTAAGCCGTATTCAATATTTAACATGAAATGGTAAAATTTATAACTTTGAAACATCCGCAGATGTATTCATACGGTTATCATGGAACTTTAAACGTGACACGTTATTGCCATTCTATAAAAAGCGGCGTATTATCTTTTAGTAATAAAATGTATGTACCCTAAACGAGAAAACAATTGGCTTTTTAATCTGATCATAATCGATTTCGTTTCGTTTCGAATAGAAAATGGTTTAATAATTGACGAGACTTTTGCTTGAGAAGTATAATCATGTTGAAAAGCTCATGTTTCAAATTGATGTTGAAAAAGATTAGAGCAACAACACTATATTCTAATTGATTGAAACAAACAATAATGATCAAGAAATTGTCTATATCATTGAAAGTAATAACATATTCTTTTGTTCATAAAATGCTTGAAAATGTACAAAGTAAAACAAAAATAAATAAAATTGTTTAGTCAAGTTTTCATCAACAAAAAACGTATTATTTGTATAGGTTTTAGACAAAGGAGTGGAAAGTACATATTTATCATCATTTGGTGAAAATGCATTTTTATATAAATCAAAAGAAAGCAAACTCCTATCAATGTCAATGAAACATCTTAATTACCTGAAGGCACATGTCTAGAAGATCAATAATCTCGCTAAATGACGGTCGTATATCTGCCACAGAATTCCAGCACATGATCATTATTTTGCTCCTATATTAAGAAAACAAAGACAGTCTTTGATTAAGTACATTAAACTAACAATATCACTGGTAATAATGAAATGCAATTATAGATATTTCAGAAAGCTAAAAGTAAATACAGGCGATATGTGTGATTCAGATATGCACCGGCTTGTTTAAGTTCATATAAATGAGCGCTGTTTCTGTATGTAAGTCGGTTAGAATTCAGGTGTTATTGAACTATATTCTATACAAATAATAGTGTCATTATGTTTAAAATGATAACCATATTCGTTTCGGGAAAGTATTTGAATTTAAGAAACACTAAATCAACTTAAATCCTACAGATCTGATCAGGAGGAACGCACTTATATAAGATATTTCATTATAAGGATCATTTTAATTTACTAAATATATAATAAATTAAATACATTTAAAATCTAATGACTAAATTTTTAAATAGAAAATCATACAATCTAGCGGGACTTTTTTCAGGAGGATCTAAGCGACCACCGGAAGCAACAAAATGCATGACGTCACTATTTGTCTGTCCTGGATATGGCATGTAACCGAGCGTAAATATTTCCCACAATAAAACACCGTATGCCCTGAAAATGAATAATACATGAACCAAGCATAGATGTAACACATTTTCAGAACGTTGATTTTGTAATTAATTAATTATAAGTTGCTCTTTTTATCACATAACCTAATATATAATTTACTTTTGTATTAATTTAATATTTCATAAAAAATGTTACGATTCTCAAAGTAATTATAATAATTGCATCTCACTTTGATCATTTGTAAACGCAACTGTATCTTACATACCAGGTGTCAGTTTTACTTGTGAAAACTCCGTCTAAAAATGCTTCAGGTGGCATCCATTTAACCGGCAACATGGCTTTACCATCCTTTCGGTAGTAATCAGCACTGCAATTTAAAATCATTCATCTTAATATAGAGGGTAACCTCTCCGTCGTCAATTAGGAAATTAATTTATATTAAGATAACAATTGTTTAACAATAAATAAATGGCACGTTTACCTGAAGAAAGAATTGTCTCTTGGTATTGAAATATTAGAAAAATGTATTTATTAGAAAGATGTAACTAAAGGCATAATTCAAACGGTGTCATAAAGTTTGTCTTGATATATTGAATCAGAGCCTGCACATATTTACTTTTGCTGTTAAAAGCGCTCCTAATATATATATGAACACATATTATACTAACCTATAAATGTCTCTAGACATCCCAAAGTCAGCTATTTTGGCAATACGATCTGGTCCCCTTGATGTTAGTAAACAGTTTCTAGCAGCTATATCTCTATTAGAAAAAACATGACAAAGACACTTAGTACTGACATTAAGATTCATGTCAGATACATACAACACTCGTTTAGCTGTATTAAGATGTTGCAAAAGCTGGATAATATAATTATATCATTAAATATACATATACCAATAATCAAATTGCAAATCATTCCATCATAGTGCCCATTATTCAAGGCGACTTTAGATATAAATAGAAAACAAAAAAAACATCTCATATTTTCTGTTAACGAATTACAAAAGAAAATATGTTAACATGAAGAACATCTGTTGAGCAAGCAAATTTGTAACGAAGACAGAAGGAAGTTACCTGTGGACAAAATGTTTCTCCTCTAAATGGCGACATCCATTTGCAATATCCAATGAAAGTTTCAGTAAGTCTTCCATCGTCAAAGAACATTTTTGGTCCTGAAATATTTAAATCAAGTTGTAATGTTAATGTCTTAACACTATTAAAATTCTGGCTTATTTTAAATTTCACAAATAATGTTAAAGAGACAAATAAGTATCTTGAATCTTTAATTGGATAATATTTAAGCACAAAAAGTAACAGACAAAAACATGGTTAGAATAATTTGCCTTACCCCCTTTGTTCTGGAATCCCTGAGAAAAGTTCTGAGATCTCCACCATCTAACAGCTCTAAGATTATATACCTAGGATGTTCCTCAAAACAAACACCTAAACACTTCACAACGTTTTTGTGCATAAACTTACTGAAAATAATTGAAGAAACTGTAACTACATGTATGTATGTATGAGATTTTATTAAAACGTCCTAAAAATGGCAGTTACAATTGAAATTTTAGTTTCTTTCTCTCATGCATATCAAAAGTTTAAATTTAATGTACACAACGAAATCTTATTATGCCATTTATAAATAATCTATTTTTATGAAATGGTATCATGTTAGAATATTATTCTGTTTTATACAGTATATCAGCATTTCCGTATCAATAATGAATGTGTTTTTGCATTAATTTGGTAATATTATATGTTTACGGCAATGCCAAATCAGTATTAAGGTCAATCTAAAACTATCTTGTTAACCTTATTATCACAGCTTCCATGAGGAAGTCCGTCTCTGCTTGTTCAGTAGATAATGCTGGAAGCGTCTGGAAAATGGAAAACAAAATATAACTATGCAAGTTCCTTATTCGTATCAAACTGGAAAGGTTAAAGACACAATTTTGCCACAATTTTTTTAAAAGATGAGCTTATCATGCATTTAATAATGTTTTAAAACAAATTAGATGCTACCATTTTGAAGTAAGTAGTTCTGAAATTATTTGTCACAAAAGTAGCAAAACATATGTAAGCTGGCATTTGGACTTCGAGTAAAAATACTTAACAAGTATAATTGTACTAATTACCAGAAGCAAAGGAGGCTAACTTAAAGGATGTTTAGGTGAGTAACAATTGAGTGCTTTTGACTTTTAGTTATTGAAAAAAAACGTAATAGGACACAAAAAATCAAGAAGGTTTCTGGCAAGAAAATATTTTTTTTTAAATTTAAGCAAATATTCGGACCACAATTTTGTTAAAACCAGATTTTGTTTAATATAATATTGTACAGGTTAATTTGTTTCCATAGCAAGAGTAATGAGGCATGTAAATTGGTATATCTAGTGTTGTATCAATAACAAATCAAAAGCCTTCCAAGCTAAGAACACAAAAAAACGTGAAAATTGTTTTATTATATTTATATTGCATTTATTTATACATAAATTTGGGTGACATTGTTTTTGTCGAAAGAACAAAATTGAAACTCTTTGTACCTCTTGCTTAACTTTGAACATTTTTCTTTAACAACATACACCCATATCTATATATTGGGAATTGCCCTAATATTCTAAAGGGAAAGCATCGGCTGATTAAAAACGAAAGCGATCCAATTGTGGGATATTTTGGGCGTGATTAATGCAACCATTCATATGTTTGATAGAAAAGCATAGCAACGATAAAATTCCTTTAAACTGACTTGGCCTACTAATGGCACATTTTCTATAGGTACAGATGTAATTTAAATATTGATAAGAAAATTATAGAATTGGTGATTGGGTATGGACATAAGATAAATGATAATATTTTTTTTTGCAGAAAAATACCTGCTCTAGGAAGATAATATTGGATTAAGTGTCACAAAAGTAGTAACAAAACCCATTTTTAATTATTTCATGATTTTTGTCAAAAATACTAAATTCTATCAACGTATTTATTGCAGACTTCCTATCACGAACCATTTCACTTAACGATATTATTTGAAATAATTTCCCAGGATATTAATTCAGATTGATTTCTATTGCTTGAAAATTACTTAAAACCTGCAGGATACCATATTCCATCTAGGTGAATTTTAAATGTTGACAAGGAGCCAAAAAGGACCCCTGGCTATAATGCTCTATAAAGATCTATGTCTTGATATAAAATAGATACATACTTTGACTGCGACCAAAAGCTCACTAACATTTGCACACAAATTCTTGAGCGTTCCCTCATAGACCTCACCAAATGCCCCTTGACCAAGCAACCTAAAGACACTCAATAGAATTAATCTCAATATTCAATTCTTGTCTACTGAAAGCATACAAAATGGTAAAAATCCTCTTTGGAAAAAGATATTATGCCTGTTGAAATGCCTGTACAAAATTACAAAAGCAATTTCCTTAGTTATCCTGGATGAATAATAATCATGCTGATTTATTCTGCATTTAATTGAGAAGTCTCTTATCAATACATAGAATTTAATAGGATCGTTCCTATAACTCTGTTTCTATTCTCCCAAAACTACTCCCAGCATGATTCCATACGAAATGAAGTAAAAGACAATTACTTTTTTAATTTAAAATTCCTACTGTTTCTAACAGAACCAAATGCAACAAGTATTGATTTTTTCAAATGATTATAAGAAAATAACACTCTGATTGCAGCGTCATTTATTAAGTCACAATAGGCCTAGTCGAACTGAAATAATTATATTTGATATCCCTAGGCTGTATTGAGGAAATCACTTATTGCGATATCCGCTGGAGGTTTTAAAATTGCAAACAAAAGAGGAATATCAAAACCTGCAACAGAGCCGACTTCTAATATTGATTATCAAAATTAATACAATTTCTTTTGTTTATTGTCTATACACTTCTGTTGCTTTGAAGTTTTGCGTTATATTTGAAATATTGATGTCGTATATCACTAACTTTGAATTCTGTATTTTATAATCGCCAAAGTTGCCTTTGACATAACCGTAAATGATGGTTTAATATAACCTAACATTTTGATGTTTTACTGAGCTATGAATGTTGTCATTTATGTAAAACAAATCTATCATAGTTAACATATCCGGTTTTACTAACGATGTAAAAAGGCAACACTTAGAGACACACCTAACAGATTTAGAAATCTATTATAATTAACAAAATACTATCCGGTTTTCCTTATGATAGACTAAGATACAATATTGTAAAAATGGAAATACTTAAAAAAACTCTTCTGACATATTCAGAAATATACTCAATACGAGGAAACAAGCAGATTTTTAAAAAAAAAAACATACTTCGTTAAGGTTAATTTATTCCGTGGTATCTCCCGCAGTTGTTGCTCCGGGTACCTGGCGATTATAAAGTCGTAATTTGGATTGAGCTCAGTAACTGCGCATCGAAGCTGCATATCAATGGACGAAGATTGTACCGGCGGAGAATTATCATCAGATTCTTGCGTAGCCATTTCAAGTCTTGCTCCTTGTCCCGGAGTACTTTTGCGGCGTCGTATTGCTGCTTTATAGAAATTTGTGATTGTCATTTCATATAAAACTTTGAAGACCTCGAAATATGTTGGTAAATGAAACAAAACATTACAGGTTTGTATATTATATAAATGACATCTCTAAAGAACTTCTTCTTTTATCAAATAGAGTTCGTCGTTTTATATTTTTAAATTTTTTTGTTAAATCAAAAAAGGTTCATGCCTCAAAACGATACAAGTAAATTATTCGTATTTTATTGTATGCCTTTGAGTGAATTACTGATTTATCCGTGACAATTAAATTTGATAATTTCACAGTGAAAATATCAAAATAAAATGTCAGACGTTTCAATTACGAGACTACTTTTTAAAGATTTTCCCAATGTGGTACCTAAATTCTATTTTGCTGACAATTCTGACAATGTCAGGGCTGTTTAGAGATTAGCAAAGCTGGAATTGATAAATAACTTAGATTTCAAAAGTAAAGCAAAGAAAAAAAATTCAATTCAATTCAAATTACCAATCACCAAATACCTCGTCTCTAAATTTTTTGTTTCATTTTTACACTTTGAAAAATTACACTTCCTTCTATATGAAAAACTTCTCTTGATGACATTTGGGCATATTTAGGTATCCTACGGGTAACTGTCAAATGCAATAAGGAAAAAACTTGGAAAGCAATGACGGTCAGCAGCCCGAGAATAAGTTAACAACCCAGCGTTCGTAAGACAGCCTTTCAACAAATCCATGTTTTCCTAATCCTTTTTGAATGTTTAAACATCTGTCAACACTTATTTATTGTTTGTGACAATCCTCAAATAAGTTTCCTTTTTCATAAAAAGATGATTGATTAACAAATCCAAATGATATCTCTCTGAGTCAAACACAATTGTTTTCCTCCTGTTTGAAATACACAACATTAAAAATGGCGGCCGCTTATACGAGTATTACTCAAAGCCTGGTGTAAGTAATTCGCCTGGTCCAATTAATTTGCCTAAGTAACGGATGGCGTGACCCTTTTTTATTTTTAAAACAAATGGTCATTCATGTTTTTGGAATAAAATAAAAAAATATCATCGCCGTTTAACGTTGATTGTCGAACTTATTTTTCAGCTCAAGACTTCTTGTAAGTCGATAAAAATGAGGCTACCAGTGGGAAAATTAGATTTAAAAATTAAAGTCGATATTAAGAAATTTCATTTAAACTTGTTTTTGAGGATAAAATAAAAAGAACATTTGTTTGTTTGTTGTATAAGATGTTATTTTATTTCATCCTGCACACAAACAAAGAAATATCCTCTATGTTTTCATAATACCTTGGAGGTAAAACGTTTAAGCGATTGACAGACACAATATTTATTTCTGTCAAATGTATTGTTATGTAATGTGGCTGCCGTAAAATGTTGCCCCGTACTTCACTTCAGTGTTGTTATATTTTCTGGTCCTTCGGGATCATTGATGCCAACACTATAAAGTGTTGAGAATTGAGTACCGCTCAAGCCGGTGCTAGGGGGGCGTGAGGGATGTTGCACTTATTCATTATCCCTCATGTACAGACTCAATCAAACCGAGTCTGCAACTCTTATGTTATTTTGTTGTGATAAATGCTTCCGATGGATCACTTTGTTTCCAGAATTTAGAACAGTATTGTACACCTTAGTATGCATTTGATTTGATTCACTTAACCTCATTTATCCGGCCAGAGACATTAAGTTTAATGTAAGTTAACATTCAAATCGAACAAGTCAAATGATGTTTCCGCTTTTATAATATAATGTAATAAGTTAGGTAATTCAGGCTGAATGACAACGCGATGGGATTTTTTCTATAACAATTAAAACATTTCTTTTCCTTTTTAAATGAAATAAATGTAAATACAGTGCATGATTTCGCATACAGGTATACGACAAAAATATCCTTAAATGAGCTAAAAAAGTTGTGTTATTCTTACCAAAACAGAGAAGTGCACTTCCCATGATAATTGCCACTGCAATACAACCCACGGTTATAACAACAATATAGGCAATGTTCATCTTTTCTGCCTGTTCTGATGTATATATAGGGCTTGATATTGTGATGCCTGAAGAAGATAAACCGTTCAATTTTTAAACTGTTACATTAAGATTAGAGTTAGTAAATTGATTGTTGCATTATGCGGAAGACCAAAAAAATAATTTTATGGTACAAAGTACATTCATGCTAAATAGTGAACACTTCATTCCGTTTATTATCAAAATGATAGTAATCATTTTATTTTACAACTGTATAAACTACTTATTGATTCGGAATATTAATGATGTTAAAGTTGTACTAAAGGAAATGTAAATATATCGAATTTTATTACTTTGTGGTGTATGACAATAAATCTCTGTGTTGTTCCTAAATTCATAAATAGTGACTGGTGCGTTATATGTTGACGTCGACATGCAACCCGTTGTCGTATAAGAAATACCTGAAGACAAAAAAGGAAAATGATCTGATTATTTTCAAATATCAAAAGGTATTTCGTATATCCTGAAAATGTCTGATGACAAAGTATTTCAAATTAACAATTATATCAGTAGAAAGTGGTAAAGTCCGTTCAAATTTGTTCAAATTATTTCAATGTATATTACTTTTTCAGTAGTTAACAAGAAATGACATTACTCTAATGACGTTTTGTTACCATGCATAGTGTCATAAAGTACCATAAACTGTAAGCTATAATTTTACCAAAACACTCTGGACTAAATGAAATGTCATCAATTGCTATATCTCCATGCTCGATAAGTGCTCCATACGCTTGTAACTCAATCACATATCTGAAATGTAATATGTATTGTCTTAGCAATAGGCAGATGTTGCACTGAAATATTTTCTGTGATTCATGCAATTGTAAAAAATTCTTGAAAAATCAGTTTGATTGTTATCAATAACAATTTTGACATCATTCTGCTTTGTGATTGAGCCATTTTTATAAAAAAGACATTACAGTTATTCATTGCAACTTCTGCAAACATGTTTGCTGTTCTTGCGTTAAGTAAGTTTTCACTACCTAGAGCTAACGATGGGTAAAGATATTTCATCGTAAACCCATACATCATCCTTTCCATTGTGTTGAGACCAAAGAAGCACTTTATTGTCTGTACAAACTTCTGTTACCCAAACATTAAGTGTCGTTACGTCTTTTCCGTACATGTGGTAAAAGAACCTGAACTGCAAATAATGATTGTTTGCGTGAATATTACTAGACTAAACTATACTGAGCATATGGCTTAAAAATTCTACTTTTATTTCAAAACCATACTTCTGAACTCTATGTAATAAAGGTTATTAAAGAAATAGAGTTTTAAACACAATTATTTCCTTTTCAATAAAAATGTTAGTCATCAGAAAGTGATATCATTATAGTTTCAACCTCTACATTAAACACAAATGCACATTGATAAGCTTTTTGTCAGATATATCAATAAATTTCAATTTTAATTAGTTTTCCTCTTGAAATATCTATCTGTATCTTTTAATTTATCAAGTTGATATGTACTTATTTTTCTTACTTTACACTGGTCTATGAATGTATCATTTATCTCAGGCATGATTAAACTGTGCAGTGTTGCGTGTTCATGTGCGTCTCCTTTCGCTCCGTCGATATACACATACTGACCTACATAAAAAACGATCTTGTTTCAAAAAATTATAAGACAACCACATTCTTTTTTTTCAGATCAGGCATTATTGCACGTGGACGTCCTGAGTATTATGCTTAAATGTGTACGTAAGAATGTTCAATATCTGGAAACACCTTTAAGACCTCGCTTTTTCTATATTAAAAATGCTTCACTTTCATTTTAAAATTTTTAAACATAATCTGTGAAAACTACTATTATTCATGACACATACCTTCGACAGTTCCTTTGGTATGGTCAACAGTAGGGCCTGTATACTCAGGCCCCGTTGGACCTTTCTGAAGAGTCCATGAAAATCCTTCTACTCTTTCCCGTGCTCGCCAACCACACATTCCGTCTTCAAATGTACATCTTGCATGCTCTGGTAGACTGTCTTAAAACGAAAGAATTTATTATATTTCATACATATGCGAACGCGTTACACTTTATTGACATTTTTTAATTAAATGAGTGAAAGTAAGCATTTAGATGGGATTCCAAGATAAAAAGATGTGCTTTAAAATCTGAACAAGATGAGGAATTTAATCTCATCAATCAAACCAATTAAATGTGTTCAAGTTATGTATGACATACAAATCATTTTGTGTCAGCGCATTTATAACATCTGTTATAAAACTTCCGAGCTTGCCGATGTATTAAAAAGTTACATTTTGTGTAAAATTAATTATATTAATCATTTTAAGCACAGTAAAATATTGTTTAAGTTTCGAATCGGAATTGCATTTTTTAACATCTAAATTGCACATGTCTTCTTTGTCAGGCATAGTATTGAATTAAAGGTGCCGGAAATATAATGGAGAACGACAACAATTCGGACAACATGTATTTAACATAAGACTTATCCACAACACAAGACTTATTTACGACCTAATATGTTTTAAAGGTTTACTTTTCTTGTGAATATAGTTATGTGAAAACAAAAGGCGCATCGCTTGATTCCGCAATAATAAATAAAACATACCGCAAATTTGCTCGTCCCTTCCATTCTGACAATCCTGTTTTAGATTGCAAACTTGGTCCAATGGAGTACATGTACTATCATCGCAAGAAAAATGGTCAGTTTTTGAGCAAGTCTCACGTAGTACATCTATAACATATTTAAATATGTTTATTCGATATAAAATGTCTCAAGCGTCATGGAAAATTGTCAGGAATGTTAAAAACTGGTTATTGATATTACGCAATGGGATTTACAATGTAATGCAAAATATAAGAAAATATAGAATAAAGAATATTGATGACTTCTGCGAAATATCTTTTCAAAAAAAATCTATACACTAGTTTTCAAAAGTATCATGAACTATTTATTAGAGCAAGTTCTAAATTTCAAAATATTACTAATATTTAGATGTTTTGGTTAATATAAAAGCAAATGCAAAAACTTAATTTGGTAAATATTCGTTACGGCACTATAAAGCAAGACATCAATGCGTTGAATCTTTACAAACACCTGATGTAGTTTCAACGTTAATTGTTCAAAACAATGTTAAAGTTAAAACAGCATGTACGTAAATTGTATGCATATATAATTTACTAAGTACATGTACCCTGATCACTCTTGCAGAAAAGTGTTGAATTTGTCTCGAACTCCTCCCTCGTCATTGTCCTCTTATGACAAGGTATGGAGATAAATTGTGTTTCATCATGAGATATACCTAAACATGAAGGAGAACGAAAACCATATTTAATTCAAACAAACACCAAAAAAAACTTTTTTAAATAAATATACTACAATACAAACCAATGACATGAGTGCAAACTGTATTAATAACAAGAAAAATTGCCAAAGTGGTACATGTAACCTTGAGAAACCGCCAACGGCAAAATTAAAAATGTTTTGCATGCTCTGTTTGATTAAACCTGTTGATGGGCAATAGTGGTAAAAACAAGTTAAGGTCCACACCATCTAGCATCGACTTTAGAAGAATTCTGATGTTTTGATTTTAAAAAAATGAAGTTTTTTAAACTTAGATTTTATTTAAGAAACAACACGGTTATCATAATTACTTTTTATTAATAGTTTGTTTATGATTAAATCATTGAATGGGCAAGTTCATTATTGTTTGTTCAAGAAAATTAAATAACTATTTTGACATATTTGTGTGATTAATAAGAATCTTATTACAAGTAATACCCCATACGTAATATTAGTATGTATTGATATTTCTTACCGAAACATTCAGGACTGAAGGAAATATCATCCAAAGCAATGTCACCGTATGCATTATGTGCAGCACCAAATCCCCGAATAGTAATAAAATATCTAAAACAGAATCAGAATTCCATATAAGACCTTACAAATTAATGATATTTTGTAAAAAAAAGCTTGTTATTGGACCAGTATACATATACTATGTTTTATTCTCATATCAAGACATTTATTGTAATAATGAATTGTGAGAAATTTTGTTTCTCATGTTTAGATCTATGTATATTGTACTGTATATTCCTGTATTCATGTAGTATCTTTTAATTGAAAAAAAATTGTTTTATTTGTAAAAGCTTCTGTTTCCGCTAAAACTTCACGTTCAGTTTAGCGTAAAGGTAGACGGACGTTGCGTCATTAGTTATTTTATGAAAGTAAATTTTCTCGGAAGAAGACAAAATGACGAATGCAAAGTACAGCGTGTTTTTGTATATCAAACTGATTAATATATTATTACATATAATATATAATTTATGAAAAAACACCAAGCTGCATTATCGTAACTGAATGTTTGCTGAAAACATTCTAAAGATCAATGTCTTAAGAAATATTTTGTTTTACAAATACTTTACTGTAATAACTTTTTCTATAAAGTTGCATACACGGTTTGTGTTATTGAAGCCAAAATTGTTTACTTATTGACATATTGAAAATGATTTGCCACCTTCTTATCAACCTTATTATAAGAGCTACTGTGTTTTAAAGGCTTATGTTTTGTACGTTTTATTGTGTTTTATTTGGGGTTATTATAATTTATTGTTATTTTCTTTCAAGTTACACCAACAATGTGAAGATTATATTGCGATAGTTCAGCTTAACTGCTGGAGGAAGATGTTTTGTGCAAATGACTTTAACCGCTTAACCACGGCGATCCTTATGCTGAAAGTAATGAACAAAAAAAAAGAAATCTGCTTAAACCGTACCTTGATGATATATTAATATTAACTTCAGCATAGTTCCATTCATCATCTAAACCACCTTTCTTACTCCAGAGATCATAAACTCTTTTATTGCAAAGGTCAACCGCTTTAATTTCCATTCTGTTGACATCTTTGCCAAGCATATGATAGAAGAAACGCAACTGAAGTTAAATACATAATTATTGTCAATAAAACATATAACCGTCAACATATTTATTGATTACATGAAACAAACTTTAAATTATTTTCATTTTACTGTACAAAACTTCAAAATTCATATTATGAATAATAAAACAATACAATAACTATCTTAAAATTCATCAAAGATTTTAATGATCGTTATCCGTTCGCTAAGTAATAAAGTATTTTAGCCCATTAATGGGAGTAAAAAATAGAGGGTGCTCAAATACGTATAATAGCAGAAACATTTGAAATCCTTAATGTTCATAGAAATAACTTCAATGTATTAAACATGGTCAAAAAACATTTTATTCCATCTGTCTGAGCAATCTTTTTAGCTTCAATATAATTTGAAACTAAGTTTTAATTTGTTAGTACCTTGCAAGATTTTAGGAAATTTTCTCCAACAGCGGGCATAACTTGACTTTGAAGTTTTGCTGGCTCATAAAAGCCTCCATCATGATCACTGTCAATATACATGTAGTATCCTGAATAAAACAAATATATAAGATATCATCTTTAAAGATAAAACATGTAATAATGCAGCATACGTTCGTGTAAAATCTATACTATATTTTCCAGGTTTATCGGTTTAAGATTATTTTATTTGCATTGTATATGATTGAATGATTTTGTGTAAGGGTAACTCTTACAGATAAGATATGTTGAAGAATGTGCGTATGAGAGCAAGTGTACGTCGGCATGTAAAACTTAACAACCTGAAGGATCTTTTGGAGATCAAATGGTCTTTAAAATGTTATATTAGACTTGTACAACACTTATCTAACGACCTTGTATGAATCACATCAAATTTATCATATTATTATCTTAGAGCTGAAATTATAATTAATTCCAAAATGTAGACTATGAATTAAGTATTTTAGTCGATATAATCGTTGCTATTTTAATACAAACCCTGGTCTGTCCCTGTTGTATGATCAATATTTGGTCCTGTCCCACTCGGAGCCCTTGGTCCATGATGTAGCTCCCATTTAAAGCCGTTGAAGTGTTTGCCTAATGTCCATCCACACGTTCCATTTTCGAAGGTACAAGTGGAAAGTTTTGGTAAATTTTCTAAAATCAAATTTTGATGGAAAATTAAATCTTAGCCATTATTACATTATATTTTCCTTCTTTTTTGATAAGGGAACAATATGCTTATTAATGGAAAAAAGCAGCCTTCAATGTGAAAAAGTTGTAACGAAAGAGGTAATTAATTTGCCTTGCATATATTAACTAAATCACGTCATCTGTACTTAATGCAAAATTTCAAAAGTCAGCTATATGACTAATGAATAATATTTAGTTTAAACACATTTAATTCATAATCATACACAGTACATAATATACATTCATCCAATATAATGTTATACAATGCTGAAATGGATTATAATGAAAGATATAAAATCTTAGTTCTACAGTTCATCTCCGAATAATAGTTTGACAAGGTACAATACACAAGGTTTGGAGAAATATAAGAAAAGCATTCGTTGTGTTAAACAGGGTCTTAAGAAAAATGACATATTCAAGGACCCTTTAAGACAACATTTGAGATGTACTCTATAATATTTAGTAAACTGAAAGATTCAAGATTAGAGAAAAAGATTGAATAAATATAATGAAAGAATCAAACACCAGCAAAAGAACGGATACGTGTTAATAATTCATATAGAATTTTGATACTATTAGTTTACGCACTATAAATATTAAACACATTCAAAGCACTTTCACCTTACAAAATAAAACAAACTATAGATGATAAATGTATCGTCATAACAGTTGAGTCTTTTATAGAATTAATTGATATTTACCACAAATGCCTTCGTCATTGCCATTGCCACAGTCATCTTGTAGATTACAAACTTTATCCCATGATATGCACGTGCCGTCTCCACATTGAAACATGCCATTGTCTGCACAGGTATTTATTATTGGAGCTAGAAAGTTAAACGTAAGCATATTACAATAAGAATAAAAACAGTTATAAATATAAGTCATTTAAGCGTCGCTATAAAATATTTAGGTGAAAAAATATATTTTGCAGTGAAAATACATAAAATGAAAACACACATTTTATTTTATCAATATTTCGCAATATTTCATTTAAAAGTATATAATAAAATGCTTTATTTCTACGATTTAATCTTTCTACTGAACTTTTTTCAATAAATCGTTTCTTATTTCTTTATTAATACAGTATAAGTGAAGGAATGTCAAAGTATAAAAAAAAAAAAACTTACACGACAAACATTGGTCGGTTTCTGAGATTTGTGTTATAACGAGCAAACCAGATGTTTCTTTGAGCTTTGTTTCAATACTAATTGTAGTATCTTTTCCTGTCTTTATAAATTGTAGGTCTAGATCTTTCCACCTGAAACCATAAAGAATTGTTTGATTTGTTCTTCTATTTCAAGTTTAATGATTTAAAATTAAAAAATATACTTGAGATATTGAACATTTAGTCAAACTAGTCCAGTTTATATTGTTGCATAAATATTTAGGTTGATAACAAAAGCCTGTTTCAATAACTTTTTGTTCAATATAATCTTTGTATTCCAATGCATATATTTTAATACCTTCTTCTCTTCAGTTTGGACATTTTAACATGTGTCATCGTTATTCTTGAAAACTTGCTAAATTCAGATAAATGTGAATTACTTTCATCGTCTGGTTTTCAAACATGAAAACAAAAGCAACAAAAAAAACGAAAAAAAAAGCAAACAAAAAACACCGCAGATCAAACAGAAACATTAACGAACGTTCAATGCGGCTGGAATTGAACATGTTACAGGCTTAGTTTTATCAATCCCGTACATAAACGGCTGTGATTAATGTAATCTTCCGTTCACGACCCCCGAAATAGAAGGATCAACATGGTACCTAATTACGAATTAAGAAATGTCGGAAAACGTGTTTGTACTGAAGCCATTAATCATCCTTTACAATAAACTGTGGTCCATGGCCCCAAAGTAAAATAAATTAAAAAAAAAACTGTTTATACCACGATCTTTTGGTCTGTTGTAAAATGGGATTATTGTCTTACACGACTGTGATCATCGTAAATACATGAGCGTGAATACCAATATATTGCAGAAATATACAGTGCTCACATTACCGTTAAGACGGGACCAATCAATCGGATATAATAAATCTCATTTGTCTTAGGTAATGAGTGCGGATGCTTGGCAGACACGTTAGATCTTTGCCAATGAAAGCGAAAGATGTTAAAGTGCTTAACACTTTAAAATCTAAACAAAAACCTACATGCATTTTTGACTGAAACAAAATACTTTGAAACAGGATATTATTTGACTCTCTATTTGTTACAAACATAAAACAGCCATATGTTACCTGTCACTAAAATGCTATTTGATAAATGTGTCTGTCTATCTTAGAAAAGCGGCTGCTATCTTTTGATTTCATTGTAATTTCAAAAGGCAATTCCCAATGACAAAACCCGGTCTACGCTTAATGAAGATGATATTTTATTTATATAATTATACTTATTATTGTATTGAGTGGACTGTAGTTGACACTTGATTAGCTAAAGAAACTAGTATTTATGTCTCGGTCAATCTGTTTCTTTATGATACTGATATTTATAACACTTGTTAATAAAATAAAAGAAGCACGCAATTAAATCATTGTAAATATAACGTAAGTGAACACACGCCATAAGCAAAGTAAACATGCATAAAATGTCGCTCGTTCACGTGATTGGCAGGAAAAAATTGAAGTAGCGTGAGTAACAAATTATTGTTTATCCTGTCTTTAGTGATCAGCATTAAGAATGAGCTAACATGACCGTTATACACAGATGACTACTATACGTATGGGTTACCATTAATTCCATATACATTGATAAACATGACTATGTGTGTTTTAACATTTTAGATTTGTTCATATCCAAAGTTGCACTTCAGTCAATACTTGACTATGTATATGAAATATTTGAGTTAATTATATAGGTTGGAAATTAGTACATAGATAAGGAGTCCTACTGCAAATTGGAAAGCAATATTATTTCCCCTGAATTATCCGTAATTCAAAAAATCGTGAAAAATAACTGTTGATACAAACTGTATTTAATTGTAATTGCATATTATCACACAGGCAAATTGATTTTTTTTCAAGATGACCGTAACGCAAACATGTTTGGTGGCGTAGCTTTTATTTATGCAGCATCTACCCATTTTATTAATTATAATATGCATTTATCAGCTTTTGACTCTTACGGCTATGTGCCGTTATATTTACACGTTGTGCACATTGATTCAAATGTTTTTGTTTACCTTTTTCTCCCATTGTCCGTTGTTATACACTGACCGTTTTCGTGTTACGTTATAAATAGGTTATAAAACGATTGAACTTTTCGCCGTCGGACATGAAACTGACTGTTGTGGACAGGGTTGGGATATTTCAAAGTGAACAATAATATATCTTAGACTGTAAAGCAACGTAAGGCAGAGGTACTGTTGGGAAACCAATATAATAATTATCAAATAGCACACATATTAAACAAATAAAGTAAAATAACGGTTCACATATTTTAAGATGAATTTCGGTAATATAACGATTTTAGCCTCCCTACATGACGTTTGCCTTGTTCGCATCAATATGAACTCCCTTAAACTTTGTAAACACATAATACTCTATAATAGTAAATATCTGAATTTGCTTTTGGATTTTTTTTATGAAGAAAGAACAAAATGAAAAATGAAAGAAGCACAAATCGGGAAGTATAAGTGATAGAAAGAGCATCGAAACACGAGGCTATCTGATTTGTACGAGGGGCGTTGCGCCCAAGTATAAATTAGATTGCCGGGTGTTTTTGATGTTATTCCTCTTTTGCATCCAAAGATTTGTGCAGAAATACAAACACGTTTTCTATCATCACTATATTAAATCCAAGGAAAAAGTAATCAATGTACCAGCATCTGAATATAACTTTTCTATCGTTATATCTTTAAATGTCATCGAAATAAGTAAATCCAAGAAAAACTGAGCCAATCAACGAGAATGCTCGAGACAAACAGTGTGTGCGGGTAACTAGTACCTGCACGGACTGTGCATGTATTGGTTTACGATTAAACACGTTTTCAGAAGTAAAGTCTCCAAACTATGAAACAACTCTTTTTGAAGACCTCATTATAAAAATCTAGTTATCTGTCACGTAGTTCGTAATATTTTACAAAGTGTACCAATTTACCAAAAATTTATATCGAATCTTAAATAAATATACGTTTGCAATACCACATTTTTAACGATCTTAAAATTGTTTCAGGTTAAATCACCATTTCATTTTAAAAAACGATACCAAGTAGTAAAGCTTCAAAGAAAAAGAAGAAAACACAGCTTGTAATGTATCAATGCCCCAAGGACTGATTTCAAATTACATGTTAGAAACAGAATTGATGAAGTTATTACACGATGACACCTTCATATTACCATCAATCCTTCAGGAGGCTAGATAATAACCATCAATTTCTTGTATAATATTATTTTACTCTCGTCTAATTTACTGGAATTCGAAAGGAGATGAAAGCAGGGACACTTGCATCTAATTATAGCAAAATTATAAATTGAATTGTATCTTCATAAAGCAAATCCAAGCAAATTAAAAATATATAAGTTTATTTTTCTCTTTTTGAATACCATTCGATCAAAATTTTGTTTCCTGTTCATCAATTCATTAAAAATGTTTTCCCTGAATTTAACTTAAAAGTAATCATGGTACATTTAAGAAATGTTAATTATACAAAATATGAGGTTTAAGCTAGCAGTCTTTCATACAGATGCATGGATTTAATTGCCGAAAAATATCGAAAAGAAAGTATTTGTTTGCAAAAATCTTTATAAGTATTAAATGCTTTGCTTGTGTTATGTATTACACTTAAACAAGCAAAATTGCAAAAATGTACCTCCGCTGTTTTAACAGCCATGTAAATAATGTAAAAAGTTCCAAACTTTGGTTTTGTTGAATAGCATAAACATCAGACGCGCTACTGTGTAGCACAAGCTACGTCTTGCCCATATTTATATTTACAGACTAGCTAAACAATTTTTCACAAACAGGCGAAACATGTGAAACACTTCTTCATCTTTAAGTCAAGTCTCGATTAATGATTTGTTGCGCAGACAGGCCTATTGATGAACGTTTTAAAAAGTCTATCTAGCTTCAAGGGTGTTGGTATTTTTTGTAAGGGAAAGAGAATGTTCAAGTAAATAACTAATGAGACGTCGAAAAAGATATTGCCTCCTGGCGGATTGCAAAACATTTAGGAGAATTTAAGAAGATAAATGTGAACAGTCCTTTGGGATCTGAAGAGATAGATATACCAGTTTCTAAACTGCAAGAAAACTTGTTTATGACATTAATGTGTTCAGTAAATGTTTCTATAATTCTTCGTATAGTATAAAACGAGTTAAGATACACATTTTATTGTTTTACATGTAACGTTTTGAACATTAACGTATAGGGCTGCAGTTTTCTTAAGCATTTAGCAAATAAATGTGCAAATATGGTATAATGTTTTTGGTACAGTAGTTGTTCACAAAGAAATAGGAAAAAAGACAATTGTGTTTTCATAATTCATGGAATACGATTTGCATTTTGAGCGTTAGATCTTGTGTACAATTAGCGAATAGTTCATTGTATAATTTGGCTAAATGTGTGCTATTGAATGATAATAGGCGCAGGGCGCCAAAATGCTATTTAAACTTAGTTGTTCTATTAATGAATGAATAAATTGTCTTTTTTGTATTATTGTTATTATCATTTTTTGTAAATTCTGTTGACAGGTTTCAACATAGTCAAACGACATCATGTCCAAATTATTGGTCATTTTCACGTGAAATGCTTGAATAAACTTTAAACAACAGTTGGTATACCGTTAAACGTAGAAATATGATGCGAACCATCGTTACATTCTGCAAACATATTCAGAGACCTATGAGAAGAACACACCATCAAAGGGCAATGCTTCAAATAATTACGTCTAATATGTCATGCTAAGAAAACATTGAATACCACATACCATACTTCGATATCGAATCGTAACTTAACTGAACTCCGTAAATGATAGAGCAAACGTCATACTTTTATATGTAAAAAATATATTAAATTTCCATCTACAAAATTTTTAATGACAATTCTTGCATGTGTGCTTGTCAAGAGAAACATGATCCCTAGAATCAAATTCAATTAAATAGACTGTCAGAGAATTTCATACCTCATGTCCTTTTCTAGTGTTATATTTTTTATTATCTCTTCCTTCCCGTCAGTATTTGACTTTATTGTTACTATGCCAGCTGTCTGATGTGCATATAATCTGATGACAAAACACGGTTCATGAGTCGTTGATGTCAACAGATGGCTAACAAGTCCGGCTTCATCATTACTTGTGTTTAAAAACAAAACATTTCCTGAAAAGGAAAAGAAAAAAATTAACATTGATGTCATTGGTTTAATAAGCGATAACTTAGGTAAGGTCATGATGTCACACCATGTCACAAATGCATTGCATTGAGTCAACATCTGATCCTTAGGTCAGAATTGTTAAACGTTTGATAGATATATCTATAAAGCTAAACAAATAAATAATTGATAATGTTTGTACGCTTTATTTTGTGTCAAATCGGTTCATATTTTATTTAATATGACACTTTTACATACAGTTAACAATTAAGTAAACACACTTAAAATTTGTCGATTATATCACGTATAGACAGAATTCGCTTTGCTATAACCATAATTAAACTGCTAAGATATTGTTTACGAAGAACAAAGAAAAAGTAAAAAGAGTTGGAAAATTTCAAAACTTCATTCCTCTCAAAACTGTTAATTCATTCTTGATGTTTAAAATAGCCATTATTTGTCTGTAGCCGATGTCAAAAATTCAAAACATTAAGTTGCAATGAAAGTTTATTGATTGGAACTTTGTAAGAGATGAACAAATAATTCTGTTGCATCTTACAAACATGCTGAAAAGCGTCTATAATTATACACTTGGGGATTATCAAAAGATGTTTTATCACGAGCGAAGAACGAACCATTCACACAATTTAAATAATTTAATACTTAGAATCGTTGAAATGTTATTGAAACTATTATTTAATAATTGCTTTTCGAAAAACTTTACAGTCACACAAGTATAGCAAGATAAAGATCTTGAAGATTTCCACACATTTTATTTGATTTTAGAGCCAGAAATAGTGTGGGCATTTTTCATGGAAATGCAAAATTTATGTAATGTTAACAAATAACATGCAAAATAATTAGTCTTAGACTTTAGAGGGGCATTAGCATTATCACATAAAGTTAAAAAAATATATATTTTGCTTGCTCACTTATCTTAATAGGGAGAGAATAGGATAGTGAACAAGTCAATGGGTTGAACATCGGGCGAGGCTCTATTTCCCCTCTGGTATTGAGTTTCCACTGCTACATGTAACGCTTACCAGCATGCACAGTGTCCTATATTGATATTCTGCTGGATATTTGCTGATGTAATACGTGCTTTGTGTTTGTTTTAAATTAGTAATTTTAATAGGAGTTGCATGTTTTTTTAATTGTCGCCATCATCATTTCATTTAAATAGGCATGAAATTTGGGACATTACTTTAAACGATTTGAAATAATTTTTAAATTTAATAGTATTCATTCTTGTTAATTACGTACAATGCCAGTGAAGTTTTTTTGTTGAATTATTAACTAGTTAGACAGGTTAATTTCAATTTAAATTAACAAACATTCAGATAATATGACAGTTTCCTTGAAGCTTGCCACTTTTTACATTGTATTGAAGGAAATAATTAAAATTTCAGCAACAACGGTTATTTAATATAACATTTTACCAAATGTTTTGTAATTGTAATTATGACAAATGAGAATTTTCTAATTGATTAAAACAGGGCTGCTTCCCTTTGCTAAGATTTCTTTCATAGGAATGACTTTAAATCAGGCAATAAATCAGATTATGATTAAATGAACTGTCACGAGCCGGGAATTCCCTCTAAAAACACAATGAAGAATTGAAAATGAATCAGAGATATCAAATAAGAAAGATTTCACTCACCGGAGCTAATGACATTTGATCAGAACAAGGCACTTGCAAATTGAATTGCATTTTGACTTACTTCAAACGGCATTTTTTATTTTTAATGGATCCTATGTCAAGACAAATTTCCGCCGAGTTGGGCCTTTTCAATCTAGACATGTCATGATTTAAAAAAAAACATGTTGTTCCAATGTCGAAATAAAAAATGAAAAAAAAAACATTGCGTTTAGATATCAGTTTCGTACATGATATTTGCATGTTTGTCATAAACGTGTTTCAGAACTCAATACAATATATATGCTACCACTGGAGTATAGATTAAAAAAGTAAAAGTATGTTTTTCCTTGTTCATATGTTCCACATGACGCAACGAAAGTATATTCAACAGAATAGAAATCGAAGAACCTGACGCGTAACTTGAAACATATTTAACGCAAACAACGGATCAGCATAAAGTAGTCTAAATGAACAAACCAAGTCTATACAGTAAACAACAATTATGAGCATATACTACTGAGTGCTTTCTTTTAATTTCTTATAACTTCAACTATCGTTGACATATTTATAATAATTGTATTATTCTCAAATTGACAAGGAAACAAAGAGGAGATGAATGTTTAATAACAAAAGTTATTCCACAATTCTGTATGGAAGAATGGTATTTGTATACGGCCTCAATGAATATTGTTTGCCAAATTGAATTTATTTCATGATATGATGTTATTAAATTACATAGTAGCATACGTTTTACGTTAATATACTTAATCAAATTTATGTTTTAATTAGCATAAACATAATAGAATGTTTTATTTAGTCAATGAAATAAAAATACGCAACATAAAAGCCAACTTCATGAAATCATCAGCATACCATTGCAAGTCTAGCTAATATTCAAACATTATCACCATGAAGACGAATGTTACTTTATCAAAAATCACGGATCAATAAAATATCTTACTTGAAATAAATGCAATACTTCTTTATGCAAATACGAATTGATTAAGTGAACGGAGTCGTTTTTTATTTAGATAAGAATGTTGATGCTGCCTTTGGTATGGGGGATTAAGAATTCGGCAAATGTTATTGTATATTTTTGTCTACTAAAGATGATGAACAAATAGGATGTAACCTTTTTCCTGTGTGCTACAACGATTTATATCTTTACAAGTTTGGTTGTTGGACAAATTAACATGAGACTTTGAATTATAAATACGCTTGTTTAAAATTACAGTTGCATTGTAATATTAGACGGTTTTGACACTGTAAAAGACAGGGACAAAGCCACAAAAACAATTAAAAATTACTTAAGGGTTGAGAGCAAACATTATACAAACATTCAATATTATCTAGAAGAGCACCAATTTTATATATTTTATGCGTTAAAATAATGCTCATGTATGTTTATTGAAAGTTGAATATCGTACTCTGATATGCACAAGTTCTGAGAAAATTAAGAGTCTGTTCAACGTAATATTAATGATGACAAACCGATACTTACCAAGGTCAAATATGTCTGTATCGACGCATTAATCTAATTACTATGGATGAATTATTGATGAGCATTTTCCATTTGTATGTTCATATTTATACAGTTACATGGGTTCAATGTTCTCGTAACAATATAACAAGTGTAATGAGATAAATAATCATGAACTTGACCGTTTAAACCCGCAGAAAAAAAGACATTTAGCTATGTAGTTATACATTATTTGTAAGATTTTTTTTTAATTGATTAGGCTATATTCTGGTATGGTGCACACACAATTTGTATTGAATCACAAACATATTTTCGCGAATATTCGCGTGAAAATATATATCCATGTTTTTTTGTATTATTACTGTAATTATTTACACATTCGACTACTGTAATGAATTTGGTTTATAAAAACAGTTACATTTCTTCATATTTAAGTCGTATTTCATGGCTACGTAAACACATGAAGGCATATAGGTACAATGAAAACTGTAAAATATAAGACATAAAAATGTAGGGTAATCTGGCACTAATGTTTGTAATCCCTGTTACTTCAGATATTTTCAAGGGCAGACAACTAATACAAACCTTGTTTATAATTGGTTTGTGCTTGACACGTTGAACATCTGTGTACCATATTTTGCAGTTTTAGTTACGATTTTTTAACAGGCCACTTGATACTAAAATTGGCATAAATTTAGATCATGTACAAAGAAACAAATATACTTGTATACTGTTTTTTACTAGTACATGTACATGTAGTTGATGTGTTTTGCAATCAGTCAAATGGAAGTATGTCACATGAAAAAAATGAAACGAATAAAACCTTGCTTATATGGACTTTCAATCAGCTGCTTCAAGGGCGGATTACTCGAAAAGGCCAAACTTGGTTAAAAAAATCAGCCCTCTTGTTCCCCCTTTCCCTCCCTTAAACTATTTCTGCTATCATGATTATAATTAATCTTACGTTTTAATAAAATCCTTAAAATGCAAGGTTTATCAATTTCCCATCTAAGGAAATAGGGAAATATCAATTTTCTCTCTCTTTCCTGTATGATTGTTATACAAAATGTTTTATATCGCTAAATTGTACTTACTTACATAATATTGAATTCATTTTAATACTTATGTTCATGTGATACTCAGAAGCTTTAATTTTGCCAACAAAGTCTTAAATTTGGTAAACATAAAAGCAATCACTCTATACTGAGCTGTTGCCACTCCAAGAATTTTGTTATAATAATAAACAACAATTTTCTGAAAACTTTTATATGTAAACCAAAAACTAATCGAAAACAGAAAGAAAATAGTTTTATAGAATGTATGTTTATTTTGTTTACAATTTACGTTTGGCTAGGGAAATTATATAAGATTATGAAACGCCAGTTGTGTGAACAGCTGTTATGAATTTCACCAACTATGCTTTGTGGTCTTGAACAAAAGCCGTTAATCTCAAAGAAGCAAACTTCCGTCCGAATAAAAACAATCGACAAAAGTTAAATAACTTTTTATACTGAATGTGATTTATCAATTGTTTTGTCAGATCGACTAAAGCAATTCAGCCATCTTTCCGAAAAAAAACATCTATTGACGTCTTGGCAAAGTGTTAATGTATAATAACAAGACGTGCTGCACTTAAAATATCTTATATGCTCAGAGATAAACAAAAAGGCATTCTTCATAACACTCCTTGTTTTCAATTTGTATTGACAGGAAAAGTGTGTCAACATTTTTCTCTTTTTTTCTTTTTTAAATTATTTGTTCGATGTGAAAATAGATAATAAATTTATCAAAGATCTTTATGGAGATGGGCAGGAAGAGAAAGTATTTGCAAGGTGTGAAATATGTTATAAAAATCAGTTTGCGAGTTTATTTATACATTTGTACGGTTC